GTTGGTAGCAAGTCTTTCGTCGAGGCTGCGGTCTTGACGAAGATGGAAACTGGGCAGTCGATCTTGGGCAAACTGCCTCGGATCAATCATGCTCAGATGGCCTCCCGGATCCTGGCAGGATCGGTCTCGGCGCGGCCTAACTTCTTAAGCCGCACCACACCACCGACTTCTTGCTTCCGGGAGACCCTATCACTCTGGGACACTTCCATGTTGTGCTGCTTTTCGGAGATCCTGAACGACGACAGCTTACTCAACCCTGGCAAGGTTAACAAGGCAGCGCAGACGCAGATCACTCTACCGGAACGGATGGGTGGCTTCGGGGTCCAATCAGCCGCGAGGACAGCTGACTTGGCGTATGTGGTCAGCCTTCTTAGTGTCGCTGGGACCCTGAAGTCCTTCTTTCAGATGGGAGGGAAGAGCATTCTCGGAGTCGAGGACAGCGAGGCGCCTTTCCCGCCCATCTTTGAGGAGGCTGAGTCGGCGCTGAAAAGGCTTCCAGAAAAAGTCCGCACGAAGCTGCCTACGTGGAAGACAGTCGGGGAGAGAGGGCTTGAACGCGGAACTTTCACGGTTTTGGCACGGGAGCTGCAGATTGAGGCTTTGAACGGGATCCGGAAGTCCCTTAACCGGCCCCGCCACAAGGCCCGATTGACCAGTTTGCAGCTGCAGAACGCGGGCGCGTGGGTCTCGGCTCTACCGTCTCGACCGGACCTCCAGCTCGAAAGCGACGACTGGGCGATTGCGGCGAACCTTCGGTTGGGTCGGGACATCCCACACCTCATTCAGGCGGGGACTTGCTCGTGCGGGAAGGACTTATCCACTTGTAACGCGGCGGGGCATGCTCTCAGGTGCTCCACCAAGTACGCGCCGTCTATCCCCCACAATGCCATCCGGGACCATGTGGCGATGGTCTGCAGGGAGGCGGGCATGCAGACGACGATGGAGGATAAGGCTTTTTTCGGTGGGAAGCCGATCCCGGATGTCGTGAGTCTCCACACGGACAGCGGGAAGACCTGGGTGATGGATGTGGTCATCGCGGATCCGCACGATAACAATGCCAACTGCCCGGAGACCAAGCCAGGAGCGGCCCTCAATGAAGCCGTTCGTCGGAAGAAGGTGACCTACAAGGAGGCGGTGACGAAAGGAGGGAAGCGGATGGAGAAGACCACCAAAGTGATTCCGTTGGCTACGGAGATCTATGGGGGTTGGTCCAACAGCTTCTCCGACTGCGTAAAGGACATTGCAGCAACCACTTCGAAGCGGCTTGGCAGACAGTCGGGGCAAACCACCGACCTCAAATCTCTCATCTGCCGGAGCATCGCTCAACGCATTGGAGTGACGCAGCAACGTTCTCAAGCGGTCATGATTCGGCACAGGTTGCGCGCAGCAGTGGAGGCCAAGGGAGAAACGATGTACCAAGACGCAGGGAGGACTTTTGACTGGATGGGCTCTCAGCCACCCGCTCCCTGCGACATTGTGGTAGGAAGGGTAGATTTCTGA